GAGGCGGCGAGTAGCGGTTGCCGCCAGCGCGGCGAGAAAAGTTACCTCTGAGCGAGGGTAAGAATTCTTACCCTCAACACGGGAGACGCGACGGCACATTACCCCGGGCAGGGCGACAAATTGTTTCTTGCCGCGCGTGAGGTGATTGTCGAAAATTGTCACCCTCGGCAGGGTAATATCTGCGCAAAAGTTACCTTTCGGCTTTACAGTGTGACGAATATGATACAGTAGGCGCTCGCTATAGTTCCGCCTTCGGTTCAGAATTGGAGTGGGTGAGTGGGGTCGCCAGAGGCGGAACTATAGGGAGCGCCTTCCCCCTTTCCTTCGCTGCCGCTCGGCCGGCTAGAGCGCGGGAACCGCGCGCCGGAGTGAAGGGGATATGGGCGCGGGGTATCGCCGCACCGCAGGCCGCGTTGATTCGTGCGTTTATTTTACGGAAGTACGGAAGGATACAACATTGAACGTACCAGAATTCATTTATTCGTACTACCAGCCAGGGTCAAAACAAAATAAACTTTATAAAAAACTATATAAAATAAAAATAACAGAATGGTTCTCGGTAGAACTTTCTCACAACAGCTATGTATTACGCAATGAATTCAATTCAGAAGACAATAGCTCACGGATCTGTGAGGTATTTTCAGGGTTCTTATGTTTGAACCACTCTAAAGCCACTTTCATGCTGTTTTCCGCGTCCTCCCGCGAGGGACACGGTTCAGTCATTACCACTTCTTCCACTACCTCCGCAGCGACATCCTCGCCATGGTCTTGTCCAACCACCTCTTCCTCATCTTCGGACTCCCACTCGTCCCGGATGGCGTTGACGATGTCGTCGTCGGAAAGGACCTTGTGGCCGAATTCATCCTTGTCCATAGTCACCCATTCGTGCACGTCGGCCCCCGTGGCGCCGGCGTTCACTCGCCGCAGGTCCTCCAGGAAGGAGTCGGCGGGTGAGGGTGGTGGGGTATCCGGGACGCCGGGCTCAACGTCGTGATCCTTTCCCAGCAGCTTGCGCCAAACGCGTGCCAGTGTGGTGTGGCCCACGGACGCCCACGCCTGGGCGACGAGGGTGGCACAGTCGTCCAGGGTGAGGGCCTTCTGGAAGTCCTTGACGGTCGTGGGCGTAAAGTTCTCCACGCACAGCAGCCTCCGGAGCAGATGTCTCCTGTATGCCCTTTTCATGACTTCTATGGCGCCCTGGTCCATCGGCTGCAGAAGGCTGGTGCAGTTTGGGGGCAGAAAGATGACTTTAAAACCGTCCGCGATGTCGTCCAGGACGCCGGGAGGGTGGCAACTGGCGTTGTCCACCAGCAGACGGACTTGCCCCGTGATACCGTCTCTTGCCTGGCGCGCCTGCACGTGGGGCACAAACACGGACCCAAACCAGTCGAGAAAAATAAAGGCATCCATCCACGCCTTTGACTGGTTGGTGTAAATGACAGGCAGCGTGCTCAGGTCTCCGTTGCGTCCCCTCCAACACCTTGGAACCTAGCGAAAATGAAAGGGGGGGGGGGGATTAGTAGAAGCAGTCGTGGCGCGAGTCCTCACGCGGCACTCAGTCGACACTAACCTGGGGCTTCCCTATCATCAGAAGCGGAAGTTGATGCGAGCCAGTAGCATTCGCGCAGCAGAGAACGGTCACCCTCTCTTTATTTGCCTTGAAGCCACTGGCCCCTTTCTCCTCACCGGCAGCAAGGGTCCTTGCAGGGAAAGCCTTCCAGTATAGACCTGAATAAGAATCCGATCTCAATAACCAATTTACAC